TTTAAATAAATGTTCAATCCAGTGGTTTGCAGTGTGTTTGTAAAGCTGGGCAACTTTATAATTCCAGAATATTTTCATGTCCTTAAAAACAAAGTCTATATCCACATTCCCTCCCGTCAGCCTGCACAACCACTAACCTCTTACATTTGTTTCTAGGGGGTTTTCCAATTCTAGATATTTATTGTAAATGGAAACATGCAACGTCTGGTCTCTTCACCTGGCTTCTTGTACTTAGAGTCATTGGTGCTATACTCCTGCATAACTTCAACTTTTTTGTTGTTACAAAAAAAATCCTTGCACAAATACAACATATTTGTTTATCCATCCATCAGCTGAGGGGCATTAAATTGTTCTGACTTTGTAACTATGAATAATATCTAGGAGGGAAACCTACTGTGTAATGTACAATTCTGTTAAACTTCCTGAGAAACTATCACACTGTTCTTCCAAGAGGGACAGATCATCCCACTCCTACCAGCAGTATAGGGACGTTCTACTTTTCCCTACAAACACTTGTCATTCTTCTTTTCTATAGATGTCACACTGGGTAAGAAGTGGGTGAGAATCAAGCTATGAGTTTGATTTGCAGTTCCCTAATGAATAGACAGTAAGAATATTCCTGTATACTTAGTTGCTGATTGTATATTTCCACTGAAAAAACTGTTTACATTTTACTGAATTATAAGAATTTCATATTTTATTCTAAATTGATGTAAGTCCATCACCAATGGTGTTGTTAGTAAACATGGCTTCCTATTCTGTGGGCCGCTCTTCATTTTTTTGACAATACCTTTGCATTAAAGGTTTTTAGTATTGATGGTAATTTATTCTCTTTTGTTGTATAAGCATTAGGGGTCATATTCAAGAAATCACTGCCTAATCCAAGGAAAATAATGATACAAGCAACGTCTGTCAAAACCTGAACACAGTTTTACACACAGAGCAGAAATTATTACAAGTAAATATTTCCTATGTAGCTAAAAACCCAAAAGCTGGGTAATAGTCCAGAAGATACTCGAATGTGAGGCATGTCAGTAATGACCAAGTCTCACCTCTCAGAGCTCCAGCCAGAAAATGAGAAAAGGCAGCAGTTTGGAGGACTGTAAGCATCCATCCAGTTGTGCTGGTTATAAACCAAGTCTAATACTTTTGACATGTATAACTAAAGTACAAGGCTCATACATGATTAGATCTGTGTTATGTACAGGTGATATATTTTGAGGCATTTTGCCTTAAAATAACTAAAGATTACAGAATTTAAGTATCATGAAATACAAATATTTACCTGTTGTCAACATTTGTTCTACTTACTTGGTAATTTCCTATCCACACATTCATTCATAATACTTTCCTGAAAGACCAAGATTATACATACATGGTCCCACTTGCCTAGATAATTCAGTCTATGTTGCCTAAAAATATGGATAGTTTCCTGTTAATCATACCATAGATAGCAATGTTAGTAAATTTAAAAATACATTCTTTCTGCCAGCCATATTTGAATTTTGCAAATTGACCTAAAAATGTATTACAGCATTTTGCTCTTATATACAACAGCCACTTTAAGATGAGTTAAAAAAATTTACGGGTAAGATATTTTTGGTAGAATTCAATCTGGACCACTTCCATGTACTTTTCGTTTATGGCATTTGACAGCTGTAGGTAGTTCTGGTCCTTTTCACTTTCTTCTCAATATGTTCTTCATTCTTATTTGTCTGTTTCATGGTCATCAAGTTCATGTTATACACTTTGAGATGGAATACTATACAAGTGATACCGTGTCCTTCTCCCACTGCCACACCCAGAGGTACACACTGTCTACCTATTCCTTGATGGTGTTCCTAATTATGAACACACAATTGTGGTGTTCTCTGTTTTCTTCATTATGCAATTACTATTTTTTCCACAAATAAATCCCTAGAGAGATATTATAAAACTGTAAAGTAGCCTATTCCTCAAGAATAAACTTTATAACAGTATTTATATTGTTGTTATAAAAAGTAACCTCTCTATATAAAAGAAACCTAATTCATTTAAGGTGAGAATTATGTGTCTGAATCAATTCCATGCCAGTTTAAATGTATTTTACTGCACTAGACTATGTGCACTGAGTGTTTATGAAAAACTGCTCATGAACTGTCCAGTCACTATAGAAAAGAGGCAACATGATTTTTAAACCCAACTAATATCAATGCCCTAATGTTTGCCCCATAAAAAGAAATCTAGTTTATTTTATGTCAGAGAAGAGTATTATAAATTAAATGATACAATGTTCTTTTCTTTATCTTTTAGAAAATATTTTAAAAGAAAACAGAAACTTGTAATAAGAGATCACTTTCATTCAAATTATCTATGATTCTGATCATAACCAGTAATCATTCCTTACTTCTTCCTGGGCAGTATGACTTTGGGGAGAGCGTTAACTTAAATTAAGCATAGCCTTATGTAAAACGTTCAAAAATCTTCAGGTTCCATGTTTGGTAACAAGGAAAAGGAAGGTAATTTTTGAAAAATAAAACATTTGGAGGTGGGGGAACGGGGATAACATTTGAAATGTAAATAAAAATATCCAATAAAATAAAGACAAAAAAGATATAGTTTTAAATAAAAATAATAGTTTTTAAAGCTGTTTCCTACTCATCTCACTACCATGCCTCTCTGTATTATGGAGAGGATCTTTTCATTAAACAGCTAGGTCATTATACAACAGTTCTTGACAGAAGCCAGTTACCCTGGGTGAGGTCATCAGGTAGGCCAAAGCCTGCCACCCTTACTTGCTGAAATACATATATTGCTAAAGTCCTGTTTTCCTTTTGAACCCAGAATCTCATCTATAATTTTTGTCTCACAATACAATAAGTTCCATATTTATGACAAAAGTACAGTTTTGTGGGGTTTTGTATATGTTGTTGTTTTGAACAATGGAACTGAGCAATCAAAATGTTGGTATTTATTGCTTTGTTTTATTTTTCTGGAAAGCATTTAGGGACAACAGTTCAAATGGTAAACAAAGGAAAAGGGGAGAGAGGAAAGAAAATAGTCAAAAATATAATTTACAAATGAGGCAAAAGGAGCAGTTATACCTGCTGGCCTAATTTTTACTACCTTTATATTATCAGCTGGAGAATTTGTAGATAATAGGAAATCACAGAAACACAGACACACACACACAGACGCACACACATATACGACAAGCAGGATAACCAAAGGTCAAACAGCTTTAGATTCAACTCAGGTTTCTCTATTTTCCTTACTATGCATGCTTCATGTTAAGCGGCAGGTATCTTCTACAGACCACCAGCAGAGAGTTGACTTGGAACACTACTGGCCTCAGTGCTACACTTAGGATCTATGTTCAAGATCACATGCAAAATATAAGAGAAGGTTTAAATGGCTGCAAGGAACTCCATGGGTTATTAGATTTGCTTCCTGTTTAGAAACTGCAGTCATACACAAGAAGAGGATATTCTGAAAATATATGAAGAACCATTTTTCACTCATTTATTAAAACCTATGATGCTCAATATACTAGCTATTAGCCACATTACGCTATTTAAAATTAGGTAAAGCTCAAAATTCAGTTCTTCAGTTCTAGTAGCTGTATTTCAAATATGCAGTAATTTTTAGCATGTAGTTCTGGATGCCAATCTAGGTGACACAGATATCAGTGTTTCAAATACCATGGAAAAGCCTGTAAGTGCTGCTCCAAACACATCAATCAGGTTTAAAGTGAACAATTACAATTCTCTTTGTGATAGATTATAAAGCAAAGAAACTTATAAACAGGTCTCCTGACAGAACATACAAGTTTTATCACGCAAAAATAAGACAGCAGGGAAGCAGGAAGCTTAGTAATAGTTCACAAATACCAGTCAATATCTTGCTGTGAAAATGTTCCTTTACTACATTCACAGACATTCTGTGAACCTACTGATTAACTAGATAATATACATATAGATAAATATTGTATGAGAAATGAACAATCAACTACCGTCATGCATTATCCTACTATGAACATTCTTCCTGAAAAATCTGCCACAAGGTTATTTTATCTGAGTGTGCATCACATGTACGGCTTTGCTAGGCAGTGAAACCTGGCGTGACCACTGCAAAGTACATGGCTTGTTGTTGACCAAAATGCCATTATGATGTACCACACTTCTTTAGTTCTTTAGTTCTTTAGTACTCTCCGATTTTAAAACTATTCAGCGTGTATTAGAGAACATGTCTGAAGTTTCTTAACTTGCTGTTTCCAAATACATAAGGTAGATACTTTTCTTTTAAAAAGGAGGCTTCCCAATTTCATAACTTTGCACCTAAGGCACTTTAATGCCAAGTAGATGTCATATATCACATCTGCTCCTAAAACTTTTACGGACAGGGACATGAGACAAATATAAAAATAAATCCACAAGTCATGATTTTTACTCTCAAGATCAAGCACTGAAAGTTCAAGGAGACTCAGCAACTCAAGAACTAGCGCCTGGATGACTATATGGCTGCTGTGGTCCACAGCAAGTCATGTGACACACAGTGACAAAGCCCATGTAGACACACAGCAGGACACAGACAGCAGGGCAGGTCCACAAGCATGTCAGCCATTACTGTTATGAAGGATGCAGAGACACATTCCAGGGGCTAATTTTACATTGACTCAGTTTCCTTTATCTTTTTCAACCTTCCTCATAGTCCACCCATCTTGGTTAGCTTGTCGGCTTTACTCTCATTTTCTCTTAAAAATCCTGAGTTTCCTCTTTTCAGGTATTCATATTGGGCAAAAGGAATAAAATGAAAGCAGAATTCCCCAATTCATTTCGTTTCACCAAGAAGAACAGTTTAAAAAATCTACTGACTTTCTTTGGAACTGTTGAGTGTGCTTTGAACGCAGCTCACTGGTTACTACGTGAGAGGTGGGAAAGTCATGTGTTTCTACAGATTGGTTGGAAGCTCGAACACTGGCTACAAGGTTTCCAGGCTATGACCCAGTTTCTCCCGCTTACCTTGGCTTTGCCGTCCTGGGCTGACATGTATCCCACGCACATGCTCTCTGTAGTATGGCTCCACAGAAATTCCACTGTGTGAACAAGAACACAAATAGGCACATTCACATCCACAGATGGAAAATAAATCTTTGCCTTTTTAATAGAACAGTTAAAGATAGCTTTATTTTTTAACACTCATTCCTTACTTTCCATTTGCTCCTTCATAAAAGTCAAAATGATTTAGTACTCAAAGCTGTAATGCCATTTACTGTGAAATGAAAAATGTATTTCTTTCTTGTCAGAACTTATGATTATTACATATAAAATAAATGCTCATGGTTGAACTTAGAACACTGGATACATCTACATTCATAGTACTGTATATAGTGATTTAGTAAATGCAGTATTCCACGGTAGAGTTTCTTTGACCATACACACATGCACATGGGCACAACGCACTAAGTCTCTACTTGAGAAACTACAGCCAGGATAGACACATGAATCTGGACTGACTTGCTACAGACCGTAAAGAAATGCTCCAAGAATGAGTGTCACTTATCAAACGACCCAGGGGTTGGATATCTCTCACTGGCCAAGTCTGCTCTCAGCAAAGTAACAATGATCAATTCTAACAACTGAGCACATTAAGAACCAAAGAAGCCAAACTTATGGAAACAAGCTCTTCCTTCCTTACAGTGGAGTCAACAAATAAACATAGCAGACATCTATTGAGTGCTTGTCATTCAAGCCTGATGATATGAGTTCAAAACGTGAAAATTCACAGTGGGAGGGGAGAATGGATTCCCCAGAGTTGTTAACTTACCTGGATATACACTCTGTGACACCTGCATGTCTCCCATATTATATCATCATCATCATCATCATGACTATTATTATTAAAAATTACATTCATAACTAGACATTGTAGCATTCTCCCGAGGCTTGGGGAATAGTGTAAAAGAAGCAGTACAAAAAAAAAAACAAAAAACAAAAACAAACAAAAAAAAAAACCCAAAGATACAAAACAGCCATCTTCAAGCAGACAAAATAATTATGGTCATGATCTGGGCCTTATTCAATCAGCATCAGAGAGACTTCCTCCTAAAGCAGATGGAGCAAATACAGAGACCCACAGCCAGACACTACCCAGAGAGAAATACCTTGGAACACACAGTTCTAACTAAACAAGATGCCTCTATCAAGTCCCTCAGAGGTCTGGCAACCCTACAAAAGATAGAAGAGACAGAGGACAAGACCGGAAAACAAGGTCCTCTAAAACAGGTGAGAATACCTCATATGAACTCAGAGACTGAAGCAGCAATGATAGGCCCTTTGTGGTCCTCTGCACACAGACTAGAACTTTCAGTTTCGTACTTTTACAGGACTCCCAAATGTGTAATTGAGTGGGTTTATGATTCTCGTGCCTTCCCTCCTGCCTTCCTGTTGTCTTCGCTTGTCCAACTTTGATATGATGATTTTGTTTTATCTTATTATACTTTATTTTGTTATATTTGGTTGTTATCTCTTAGAAGCCTGTTGTTGTTGTTTTTTTTTCTAATCGGGGACAGAAAAGGAGTGGATCTGTATGGGAGAGGAAGAGGGAGAGAACTGGGAGAGTAGAGGGAGGGAAAGCTGTATTCAGAGCAAACTGTATGAAGAAAGTATCTATGTTTAATAAAAGAGAGAAAATCAAAATGAACAAACAAAAATTATAATCATAAACTCACACCAGCTGTGGTTGCCTGAACTCTATCAGTAACCAGTACTTCAGCAGAGGGAAACTAGGCTGGTTTTCTTGAAACCCTCACTTTCCATGCCTGATTTCTGACTCTGATAGAGTCTTAGAGAAGGAAGTCATTGACTTTAGTTGTCTACCCACTAGTGATCCAGCCAAGTTCCAACGAATTGTCAAACTGATGTCACATATAGAGCTCTGATTAAACTCAAACAAAATAACCCACAAATCTGGGAAAGAGACTTTCAGAGAAGATGGGTGTGTGTGTGTTAGGGATGGTCAGAAAAAAGCAAGGGTGTGGGAAAGGAATAACCAGAACACATTATCTGCGTGTACACAGTCAATGAATTAACTTACTAAGAGTTTGACAATCATGTTTACCAGAACTAGTGAGTGAACGTTTAAAGAATGTCATGTTATTTGCAGTCTCAATGTATCTCTTTTAAACATTTCTTATCAAAGATAAATTTAAAAGTGTAAAAGGTAGACGCTGATGTGGACGTCAAGAAGTGCATGTTGACAGGAGTCTGATATAGCTGTCTCCTTAGAGGTCTCCCAGAGCCTGAAATACACAGAGGCAGATGCTCACAGCTAACCATTGAACTGATCATGGGGTTCCCAATGGAGAACTTAGAGAGAAGACTGAGGGAGCTGAAAAGCTTTGTGGCCCCATGAGGAGAGTAACAATTCCAACCAACCAGAGCTCCCAGGGTCTAAACCACCAGCCTGGGAGCACATAGGGAGGGACCCATGGCTCCAGCTGTATATGTAGGGGAGGATGACAGTGTCAGGCATAGGTGGGTGAGGAAGTCCTTGGTCCAGTGAAGGCTGGACGCCCCAGTGTGGGGGAAATAGTGGATGGGGAGATGAGAGTGGGAGGGTGAGTGGGGCATATCCTCATAGAAGCAGGAAGGGGGGGATGGGATAGGGGGTTCCTGGGTGAGGGGAAAGGGGATTATAACTGAAATGTAAATAAAATATCCAATAAAAAAGTGGCAAAAGCTATTAACTATACAATCATAAGTCTGCTCACTTGTGGCTAAGTTAAGGGTCTATGCACCAAGGGAGAAGTTATTCTGCAAACCACACAGAACCCTATGTCACTTTCGAATCTCTTTCACGCAATGCTATCTGTATTAACCTGTGCATGGGCAGTAAGTTCCTCTGAATAAGTGTATTGGCCTTATGGTTCTCATTTTCCTTTGCTTCAATTTGTAAATTGAATAAATCCTGCATTCAACCATCTTCAAAAAAAAAGTGTAAATTTGTTGTAGAATAAACCTTATGAGCTTTAACTAAACAAGAAAGCTGATTTCAACAACTGGGGGGTCAAACAAAATTGTTAGGTGCTGACCACGCAACTTACAACATAACCCCTAAAATACATCACTTATGATGCAGAACCAAATCTGGATGGGAATGCTAAACAGCTTGATGCAGCAATGATCTCCACTTAGTAACTCATCAGAATGCTTCAAATTTATCGAAGCAAACTTGCCAAAGTAAACTTCTCGAGGAGACATTGAGAGAAATGCTTAAAGGGACACAAGACACTAAATGCAGGATGCCATCTTGGATTGTACTCTGGGCTGAGGTTACAAGGGATGTTGTTCCATGGATACTATTGAGACAAGTGCTTACATGTTTAAAAGAATACCCTTGTTCTTCAGAAATACACACTGATGGATTAGGAGTAAAGGAGTTTAAATCTCCTGTAAAACATTAGAGAAAAGTGTGTGTAGAGGAAGGGACAGGTGATGGCGGACACAGAAGATAGCTTAAGAAGGCAAAGCAATAGCACACCTGAGAGATGCCTACTCCTCCCAGTTCTCTCCCTCGTTCTTTCCCATCCAGATCCACTCTTTTTCTGTCTCCCACTAGAAAAGAACAGGCTTCTAAGAGATAACCAAACATAACAAAATAAAGTAAACTAAGATAAAACAAAAACCACCATAGCAAAGTTGAACAAGCCAAGCAGCCTCATGTAGTAGTCTTAAATGTTCCCATACTCGTGAAACCATATCTACATACAATTTTACAAACAAGAACTAACACACACAGAACACATACATCTATTGCTGTGAAGACATACCATGGCCATGAAAACTGCTTTTTTTTTTTTAAAACAGTTCTTCTTCCCACATTGTGGCTTAACTAAAACACTGTCTTCTATTTAAAAAAAAAAAAAAAACCAACAACCAACCCCAGAACATTTAATTATGGCTGGCTTACAGGTTCAGAGGTTTAATCCATTACTGTCATGATGAATGGTGGCACGCAGCACAGGCAGACACAGTGCTGTAGAAGTAGCTGAGAGTTCTACATCTGGATCCAGAGGGAGCATCTGAAGCCTCAAAGCCCACCTCTACTGACACACTTCCTCCAACAATAGTACACTTTCAAACAGTGCCACTCCCTATAAGCCTATGGGAGACATTTTCATTCAAACCACCACAAACGTCAAGTGCAACTTTCCATATTTTAAGTTTTTAAAAAGTTTTAAAAGTTTTGCTGTATTTTTCCAATAAAAATCTCCAATGTGCCTGATAATAAAATTTCATTGCTCAACATCGAGTCCTTGGCATCCCAGGCCATTCATCTGTTTATATCTCTGTGCTAATTATGCTTAAAGATGCATGTTAAGACACAAAATGGGAAGAAGAGTGGTCCTAGGCACTGAAGGTTTTGCCAGACATGTGGAAAAGAAAAAAAGAAAGGGTGAGGGGCAAGATAGGCTTCCTCAGAAACATGGTTCATTCCCTCGTTATTAATTAATTATCAAACCTGGCAGCCTGCTAAGCAGACTCTCAGCTGCCGAGGGCAGGAAAACAGTCACGCAATGAAGTAAGTTCTCTTCACCAGATGTTTTTCCTTCCACACACATTTGCTTTTAGCTTCAAAAATCTTCAAGTCCAGAGCAAGGTCGTGAATATGCTAAGCTGCCCAACAGAGCAAAGGCTCTGATCTTAATGAAGGTCTCCAGGGAGCAATGATTTCATTTAAAAAAAAAAAAAACACAGCAGCTAAGACAACACTAAAATTGTGATTTCTTCTTTAATTAAGATGGCAATTGCTCAGGAATGAGACTGGTCCTACAAAAGAGACACACAAGGACACACAAAGCAAAGACACATACCCAGCAACAGAGCCCAGTAACACCACTAACACAAACAAGAAAAACAATGTGTACACATGCGCGCACATGCGTGTGTGTGTGTGTGTGTGTGTGTGTGTGTGTCTCCCATGCCACCTCTAGTATTAGTGTTTGCCTTCTACTCTTCTACAATAGGTTTCTCCACTGCTGGCTTCCCCGTCACCTCTAGGTAGGGCAGGCTGATTGGTCTATGAGCTTCCAGA